TCGTTTGGAGTCATATATGTCGTTCTATATATATATATATAATACATTATGTATATAAACACCAGAAATACAGAGAAAACAAATACTTCATATACTCAATACATTATACATTGTATTTTGTGTTACTTTTACTATTACAGTATTAATACATGCATTAACTTTGTGGTGTCAGGTTTAAAGATTCCCTTGGCTTTTGTGGACTGAAGTAACGTCAGATACTGAGGTTTCTGCAGCAGGATCCTGTTTCTGGCACAACCTGCTTTCGGTCAATTATGAATATTACATTCATTTGTTTTTTTTTCTGCAGCACATCTTTCTCTTAACAGCACGCACTCACCCTTTAATTATTAACTCTCAACAAAAACACCTCAGTCATGAAGACATGGCTGTCACGCCCATATTTAACTCAGGAAGATGTTTTTTATACTTTTCTCAGTTTTTATTTAAATACTACAGCTGCACTAATATAAGGAAAAAAAATTGAAAAAAAAGCAACACAGAAAAACATACAGAGTAAATGCATGAGACTGTGTCAGAGATGAGGATTCAATTTTGCCACCCAGACTCGAGTTGCATGTTTTATCTATCAGCATTTTAACATTGAGGAAACTATTGAACATTTGAATAGCTCCCTTCTTTTTTTGTCATAGTAACAATGGTAACCATTTTACATGGCTGCGCACCTCACGTACTGAGATGATGGTAACACTATGGCGACCGACACACCTGCAGCCAGCAGTGCAGTTTTAGCAACAGACAACAGAAAGGTTCAACGGGAAGAGACATGAGACTTAACTTTTCAGAGACTTGAAACTTGCCTAAGTCTCTTGACCAAAGACTTGAGACTTGACCAAGTCTCATCCACAAAGACTTGAGACTTGACTTGGACCCGTGACCAAAGACTTGAGACTTGACCAAGTCTCACCTCACAAAGACTCAAAATTTGACTTGAACCCATGACAAAAGACTTGAGACTTGACCAAGACTCATCCCACAAAGACTTGAGACTTGACTTGGGAATTGAATTAGACTTTCAAAAAAAAAGACTGTGTCCTGACTCTGGACGGTTACCTTCTGAGATACTTTAAGGACATTGACTGTTGCACTCTTAGAAATTGAAACTGAACCTTTTATAAACCATTAACCTTACAGACAAAGACAGAGAAAATCATTTTAACTCCAAGAAAAGACATATGAACTTCTGGTCCTCTGCTGCTTCCTGTGGTTAGTATGAGTCACTGAGGTGGGTCTGAAAATATCTGAACATTTTCCAACAGTTCAACACATTTGATCTGAGTTATTGAGGCAGCAGTGGATCGACGACTGCTGCGTCTCCGTCAGCTAAAATCACTGATTTCCTGCATGAGGTTTGGTCTGGAGGCTAAAAATTGTTAATTTTCCCTGTGGACTTTGGTGTGGGAGACCAAGTGTGTAAGGATATGTGCGTATGTGTGAAAGTGCATCACCCACTAGCAGACTCACAGTATGTTCTCACTTCAGTGCCTCTGCCCATATTTCACTGTGTGAGACTCTGGAGATGCAGGACACACACACACACACACACACACACACAAACACATTCTCTGGAGGGGGTTTTTCACAGTTGCTTGACTAAATATTTAGTAGTGTAAATGAGAATATGCAGGAGAAGGGCCGATGTGCCGCTACACAGTAGTATGATGATTGTGTTTTAATGTGTGATGAGGGTGAAGTGGTGACTAACACTGATGGCTGTCAGTGAGAGAATAATATACGGATGGAGGCTTCACCTGCAGCGGAGGAGAGCGAGCTGCAGCTCTTCACTGCTCCAGTTAACAGACAAAGCCCAGGCATTGGAAAGAGTCTGATGAATATTCATTACGGCTGCTTTAAACCACACACTGCTCACACTACTGCACTCTACCTGAGCAGGTCCAGTTAAAAGAACAGAGCCACGATCGCAACACGAGTGGCCACTGAGAGCAGATGGTTTCTAACAGCTCACTAAACGAAGGTGAGCGGAAACTCTTCTCCAGAAGAAAAAATAAACATCTGCTGCTGAGCACCTCAACAGGGAGCTGCAGCAGCAGGACGGCCGTGAGATGTTGGATTGATTGGTCAATGTTTGATCGGTTTTAAATACACTTTGTTAGGGCTGCCACAATTTATTTTGTTATTAATTTATTTAACACAAGAATGGAACGAATGACCGGCACCACATATCCCATAACTCCACGGTACAAACACCTACTTTATCATGTTATACAGCATGTGAGTGAAGGGGCTCCAACCTCAGGTCAGCGGCACGGCTCGTGTCAGAGCAGTCTGACTGAGACAACAGTCAAACGGCTTGTTGTTGTTCAGGACTGTAGCCTGATTAATATTGTTGAGGACCACGATTGGACTGAAGTTTAGAAAGAAACTCTCCACACGTTCTACAAGACACCGTCAAGATGAACAGTAACGACTGAACTACACCAACTCTATGGAGAGACATTTTCACTGAGACTGGTGCAGATTTGAATGGACATTTGACCACATTAATAATGCCATCATTTGGATCAGTCACAGACTTAAAAAGGTGAGAAACGCTGACATCTACCTGCTGATATTTGTTTTTCTCCTACAGTGATTTACAGATTTACCGAATGTTTTGCTCATATTTAGCACTGTTGAAATAACTAGAATAATCACGATTAATCACTATGTATCATGATTAATCATGATCGATCATGATTATCCATAGCTCCTTTATGATTAATCAAATTAAATTATTGTTATTGTTTCACAGCTCTGGTTTCTATGTATATATGTTGACAGAGACAGAGTAGAAATGCATTTCAAATAAATAGTGAGAGAGTGGGAAAGGGTAATACAGTCTAGGGAGGGTTGAAAACAGGGTGGGGGAGGTTCGTAAAGGGTAAATATATACGGAAATAACATAACTATCTTGCCTCTACTTTGCAATTTTATTTTCCATTTTGCAGTCAGTCTTTGAACACAACTACCACACTTGGAGAGGGACCACTGTATAAATAAAAAACAAATGATCGCTGTCATATTTAGGAATCATAACCGATCACGCTCAATTACTCTCACAATGAATCATCTGGCTCCACCTCTACATCAGTTTGGAAAGTCTCTGGCCTTTAAGACCTTTGACCTACAGTTTTACGGAATCACACAGAAACTCCAAAGTGTCCTCAAATCTGTGGTCAAATATCTCAAATCAATGTTCCATTGACTGAAGTTGAATAAAACCTGACCAACTGTATGACCAGTTTCTCCCGAACCAGCTGTTCATCACAGATGTTCTTCTCAAACCTCCCTGCATTAGTGAAGTGTATTAAACCCTGTGGAAGCTCAGCTTCAATGGATTTCAAGGCAGTAAAACTGAATTGTTCATCTGGACTCAATGCAGACATGTACAGCCATGCAGGTCGTCTGCTTGCTGATTGGACAAAATATTCAAGAAAACTTTTTTCTTTGAAAGAACTTTTTAAAAAATGCAGTGGAACTTTTTAAAAAAATCAATCAGAGAGGTCTAGAGAAGGACCATTGGGTATACAGACCATTTCCATCTGTATACAGTATCTGTACTGGAGAGAACTGTTTCTGATGGTTTTACTTTTCTTAAATGATCCTGTTACATACAGTACTTCTGGTGGACCAGAGTTCATGTTAAAATAAAATGGACTTCGACTGTGCTACAGAGCAAAAGAAAGCACTGAACTGATCTGACAGGTGGGTGTTTGAAATCCTGGAAGCCCTGACAATTCCAGGATTCCCCTGATGAAGTTTTTAAAGCCAACCTGGAACAAAAATGAAAAGAAGCTGACAGATAGGTTTTAAAGAAGAGACTCGGAGTTTCTCTTTCTGATGACAAGGTCAGTGTTCACATCAGTGTTTCACTCACTGATAAATTGTTCTCCCAACAACCAACAACTGAACAGCACAGAGTTACTCTAAAGGGACAGTTCTGGGATTTTAATCCACCTATGCTGGAGTGTCTGCTCCTCATTTTCTTTTTAAATAAAGGCTGTGCTCCACGTAGGGGGCAGCTTCAGTTTGAAGAGTACTCTCACACACGCAGCCACACACATACCTAAACCACACGTAGACACACACACACACACACACACAACAGTAGCAGTTTTCTTTTGCAGAGAAAACCTTGAACAACTAATGAGATAAAAATTTAAATAGAGGCAAAGTGAGGCTGAGTGTTCCGCCTGCCCCCACAGTGTGTGTGTGTGTGTGTGTGTGAGTGTGTGTCGAGGTGGGTGGAAACATCACTGGGTTGACAACAGAGACAGACCATAGAAAATGAAACAGGTGAAGCTGGGGGTGAGGATGTAGAGGAGAGATTTCCGCCATTTACTTCAAGTTGCAGGGCTGTGAGTGTTTGACTGCGTGTGACCGTGAACTTGTCTAAGCCGTCAACGCGGAGGGACGTCACATGACCAGACGGAGACGAGAGAGACATGCATTTGTCCATTTAGGTTGTCCATATTAATAGCAGGTTATCGAGGCGAACGTTCGTTTCGACTTCGGGGTCATTTTTCGCTGTTTCTGATGTTTTAGCGGTGTTAAGTGATCAGTTTTGGGGGCCCGAGGTGTGAAATGAACATCGTCTCAGAGACAGGGGCACTTTGGCCGGCACAGGTTCTTATCCATCCCTTATTAATTTATTCCATAAAGGCGTATTTACCCGGTTTACGAGAAGCGTGAGGTTTACCCGGATGTCCATTTGGTCCTCGGGTGATTTTTCAGTTGCCTCATTATTGTTTTGCCATCGCGTGATCAATTTTAGGACTATGTCTCAAAGACACAAATACTTCGGCCGGTCGATTATTGTCATTATTATTACATTCCTGTCTGGCTTGCCTACGGCAGCACACAGAGGTGGCTGAAGGATCTGCAGCGACAGAGAAGTGGTGAGAGTGAACAGATGCTACAGTGTTGGAGCAGAGTGCGTGTCCGTCACCCACCCACACTCACTCCCTCACTCACTCACTCACCCATGTTGTCTCATCGGTGCGTCCTCTTGCTCCTCCCGGCTCTGGTCCCCAGCACCTGCAGCTCAGTGTGCGTCTCAGTGCTCTCTCACCGTGGGTCAGTCTCCTGCCTTCATCCTGGGTTCACTTTACAGTAAAACATAAAAAAACGATCATAAAAATGATAAAATCCCTGTCGGAGATTTAACAGCAGCGCTGGAAGTTTGCGGACCTGCTGCGTGACGCAGCGCAACTTTCCATAAATTGTGCCATGAATGAGGGAAAAGAGACTTAACCTAGAGTTTGAATCTAAAAACAAAAACGCGTCTGGATCTGGTTGTTAGATAGAAATTCTGGATCAAAATCCTGGATCTGCTGAGTTTTAATTCAACCCGTGATCCGGCAGAGAAAACTGGAGGAGCACAAGATGATGGAGATGAAGAAGGAAGAAAAGCCTCCGTGTGTCTGTCTGTGTGTGTCCGTGTGTGTGTGTGCACAGCGGATATAGAGAGGTGAACGTCCTCTGCGCAAACACGGGCAACAGCAGCTAATGCGCGTCCGTGAGAGACACGGGGGAGCGCGGTTCCTTCGTGTACGTGTGTTAAGAATGGGAATGCGCGTTAACGCGAATGTGGGAGAGAGAGAGAGAGAGAGAGAGAGGCTTTGAGGCATAAAGGGATTAGAGAGAAGAGGAGGTGAGAGGGAGGCGAAAGGGGGAGTGGGAGAGAGAGAAGGGAGGAAAAGGAGGAGTGAGAGGAAGAATAAGAAACAGGATAGAAAAAGAGCTGGAGGGGGAAGGGGCAGAGGGGGGAGTGAAAGGCAATAAAGAAATATAAAATAGAGGTAGATGTAAAATGGAGGAAGGTAAGGGAGGGGAGATGAAGAGAGTAAAGGGGAAGATGGAGAGAGAGAGAGAAAGAACAGGAAAATGAAGGAACAGGTGATTGACGTGGAGAGAAGAGAGAGAGAGTAGTAGGAGGAGAAGGTAGGAGAGAGAGGGAGGGGAGACCTGGGGAACAGGTGAGGAAGAACAGAGGAGGAGAGGAAGAGGCGGGGAGAAGAAAGAAGAACAGACCAAAGTGGGTCTGCAATAAAGTAAAAGTTAATTCAAAATGGCTAACAGTTAGCACATGAGTTACTAAAGGTTAGCTCGCTCACAGGGGACAAAATGGCTTTTGTCCATTTGGAGATTTGTGTATGATCTATTTTGTGTATGATCTATTTTATTGTTCTCTATTCTATTTTTGATCTATTTTTAGTCAAAGCAAAGTTTGTCACTGTCAAAACCTGAGGTTCGTTTTTCCCCAGAAGTTTAAACAGTGACTTGATTAACACAGAAAATGGAACAAAGTAACTATGGATAAATGAAGGAACCCCCCCCCCCCCCCCCCCCCCCCCCCCC